TTGTGTGAAATAATCAGGATATCTATCAAGAATAATTTATCAATTTGTTGATGTCCCATTCCCATATACAGGAATGCTATCTTAAAACAAATTACAAGCTGGGAAATCCATGGTCTTTGATTGAGAATAACATACATGTGAACTCTCCCACTTTAAGCGGGAGACTCCCACTTTCTGCAGCCATATTTTTAAAGATTTTTCTTAAAATAAGGGGTATTTTCACAAATTAAAGAAAACTCCCTCCTTTTGGTGTCAGAACTTCCTTCTTTGTTTATTGCAAATTCTAAAATCTCCCTCTTTTTGAAGAAAAATCTCCCACATGATCATAAAAAAAAGTTCACATGTATGGAATAAAGAAGTCATAGTAATGTTACAACCCTTCATTGCTTATATTAGGTAGATGAAATGCTAACATTTGGCAGCCAATATAGCATAGACTCTGGAAGAACTGCATTTTGTAGGCTTGCCTGGATCTATACTGGTAACAATACTAACCTAGATCTATACTGTTAACAAAACTGTCCTGGAGCTATACTAGTAACAATACTGGCCTTGATCTATACTGGTAACAATACTGGCCTGGATTGGTAACAATACTGGCCTGGATCTATACTGGTAACAATATTGGCCTGGATGGTAACAATACTGGCCTGGATCTACATTGGGAACAATACTGGAGTGGACTTTTACTGGTAACAATACTGGCCTCGATCTATACTGGTAATAACTACCAAGTATTTGAGCCACTAGCATTTAATAAACATGTGTGCATAATGTTAATAAATACCTGGATTATGTGTGTGTAGTTGTAAGGATTATATTACTTATATTGCGTCATTACTAAATGTTTACTACTTTGTTTTTTTTTCTCATGAAATATAGTATGCATCAACATGCACTGAATTAAAAGTAAGTAAATTCAAACCAACCAGTAGAAACTTTTTAAGATAAATAAAAATTACAATCAAGTTTCAGAAGTCAACCAATTATGGAGACATCAGAAAAATCTTTGATAGGAAATGTCTTCTCTGAAAAAAAATCAGTGTATACAATGGGTCAGACTATTTATCAAACTTCAGCTTATGTCAAACCTCTTGGGGAATCAGACATTTGCACCTCAAACAAAAAGTATGAATAGAAATTGAATGGTTTAAAAATTTTAGAAAAAGAGTATACATGTATATTTGGTAAAATAAACAGTAATGAGAATAAGACTTGAATTAATTGTGTCCAGTAGATCTACAGAATGTTGCTGCATTAAACTGTTCAAGAGTAGGTAGGGCAGGAGTACAGATAATTTGATTTATGTGGAATGGTAAACATGGTAAAAATGAACTAACAATAGGGTTAATTTCACTAAATACACTTTCACAATAATAAGTCACATTGTGTCTGGAGGGTGTGTGTGTGTTATTTCCCTTTGAAAAGTAAACTCCATTTACATGCTATGTTAAAGGTCCGTGTTAACTCCCTTTGATAAGTAAACGTCATTTGCATGCACTAGATGGGTTATGTTAACTCCCTTTGATAAGTAAACGCCATTTGCTTGCAGTAGATGGGTTATGTTAAATTAAGTCCCTTTGATAAGTAAACGCCATTTGTAAGCAGGACTATTCAAGAAGTAAACTTGATTCTTATTAACAAATGTGTATTTGTATATCATTTTAATTAGTTTGTGGCAGGTCACTAACTTTATATTTCAAAGAAATGTTGATTGATGACAGATTAATGGATACAGTAAGTACTGTAGCGAATTGAATTCTTACATTCAGAGACAGTCGACTGTGTTTCGTCATACATAACATGCCTAACATGGTTTCAGAATACTAAATAAACTGAGAAAATTTAAAGCTGCATGCCTCCAGATGAGCCCAAATGTATTAAGAAGATCAAAGATGAAAAAAAAATGTTCCAAAGTTATTAGAATACAGTATAGTAGTAAAAAGATTCAACACCAAAACTTTTAATTATCTACATGTTCTGTGTGATAAAAAACTGATTTTGCGGTATTTATCACCATATTTTTACTGTGTGACTTAGAGGGCAATTTTTCATATTTTGTCTTTTTATTCTGGGGTTGTGATGAGGAAGGGTAATTTTCGTGGATTGTAAAAGAAAAACATAATTTATCTGCTGTATGCAATTTGTATATTACTGTCTTTGCTCCCTCCACAATATTTTACTTTTAAATACATTTTCAAATTTTTTATGAAAATTCCATGAATCTGGAGGCATGCAGCTTTAAGTTAAAGTTGTCTTTTTTTCCAATTGAAGAAATGATTGATTATAAAATCATGTTTCAATTTTTAAAGTTTTACCCAAACATACTTGTTATTTGCTGTTAAAAATTATCAGTCAGTAAAAATTACCCTATTTTCTTTTACCTTTATCACATGGACTTTTAAACTAGAAAATTAAATAATTGCTTCTCACATTACTCTTTATTGCACTTTCACTCTGTGTGTTTACTTTTCTTGCTTTTTTAAATAACAGACCTGTTGATGTTTTATACTATGGCTTGCATTCTATAACTGAACAAGTCATCACAGAAACAGTCATCCTAGTCTTATATACATCTTTTAATAATATTGGTATCTTTTTCCCCCTTTTTTATGTCAGAGTAAAATACCTTAACAATTTCCACTAACCCTAAGGATTTTATATCAATATGCAGGATTTTTACATTCTCTCTCTGTCCTATAATTTATGTCCAATCTTATTCAATTTAAGTTAACATAATTATTTGTATAAAACCATTCTGTTTTGTAGTGTCACTTATGTTAATACATCTTTTATAATTCTTCAGTCCTTTACAAAGACACTGTGATGAAACTCTATTGACTTCCCGCCAAGATTTTTCGCATGAGTAGGCCAATCACTGTGCTCTATTTTCATCGGATTTTACAAACGTTTGTGTGTAAGTGAAGTATCCCTTTTTATATTTTCATACTGTCTTGCACTGTTTCACCATACAACACTTTGTTTATAGCACAAGTTTATCCATACATGTGTGCAGTTAATATTAGGCACACATGTTTATGAATTGATTTAGATTTGTACTTGCGTAAATAGTGTTTTTATTGCTGGATTTATACTGTGCAATTAGTGGATATTTTTTTTTAGTTTAACACACTCTTCTTCCACAGTGAGTAATGTTAATATATTTTCTGAAGAATTATATCAAGCTGTCAAGTTTCTTGGGATTAATGTCAGTCTTCATGATTGAGTTCCCTGTGTTAAATACCGGGCCTTTAACAAATATCCATTGCCTCTTAAATCTTGCAACATTCATAAAAATTGAAAATAATTTTGTAAAAAATTAAAAAAGTTTACAAATCGTAGTGTTGATCTGGAAGACTCTAAAGGAGATATAGTGAAATGTTGTATATCTGGAAAAAGGTTAAAGTTAATGCAAAAACATGAATTGTGGGGTAATAAAAAAAACAAAATCGCTAAATACTTTCTCTATTAACAATGCCATATTCCTAGTTATATTGATTTAAATGTCAAACTACTTAACAAATGTAGCATCATATTCTAAAAGTTAAATTGAGCTAATTCTGTAGTAAGAAACTGATATCATTGATAATTTCTATTTTCAATTTTGTCTTTTATTCCTTTTCATACTGTTCAAAAGTTAGATTCAGTTTTTCCTATATATGCATTTATTTTCATTTCTTAAAATTTGTAAGAAAAAAATGATCTATTTTTTTTAATGATTTTTCAAATAGATATAATTTTATCTTCATTTTCTTTCTCCCATCCATTTTAAATATAAACTAAATGCTTACAATTTTAAGTCTGCAAAAAATTGTATCCTTAAAGTGAATGTATTCTGTTAATATTGAATCAATAATATCATCCTTTATTGCATGTATTATATAAAACATCACAATATATTGAAATGTACCATGATATTACTAAAACAGTGGTAAAAACTAACTGTAGTATGTACAAAAGGAGTTTTTATTTAAAAAAAGAACATCATCTTGATTGAATACATCTAATTAAAATATTTGTATTTGTCAAACTAGCTAGTTTTGTCAAAATACAGTCAGAATATTTTCCAGAAACTTTAAAATGTGCAGAGGATAGCCATGTTGCTTTCTGTTTTTATGCACCTGTTTGAAATTTTTAAAAAACTGGAACTAATATAGGATCGGAAATCATCCAGATATCAACTTGTTTTGTCTGGTGCAAATCTTCTGTACTACTTGACACAAAAGATCACCAACATGAATGTGTGAAACGGGTCTCTAGGTCAAAGGTTAAGGTCACTTTTTGGGAAACACAGGAAAAAACCTGTCTGGAGCAAAACTTCTACATGCATTAAGTGATTTTGATAGAACGTGGCCAAATGTTCACCATTGCGAGGTATGAGTGTCACATGTAAAATTCAGGTCACTATGACAAAGGTCAATGTCACTTTTAGAGGTGAAAGGTCAGATGAGAATATGGAAAAGTTTTTTGAACAATTTGGTAGTGATGAACTGAGGGATTAAATCATAAATGTTCCAGATAATGCCAGCACAATCTAGGTCATTATATAGAAGGTCAAGGTCACCTAAGATATTCATTTTTGTGGTGAGCATGGGAATAAAACCGTTGCAATACAATATGTGTCACTTGATTTCTAAGACAGAAATGAGAAATAAATATTAAAACATTATTTATGTAAGCTTTATTGTGAAGAAAGTTTGTAGCTTATTTCAACCATTCTTGAGCCTGCTGCCTGGAACTTAACAGTATTTGGGCCTTATTAGACCTGAGAAAAAATAGTTACTGTTGAGACAGCAGTAGGGCTTGAACCATAGGTCCCTTTGTTGAGAGATAGATTTTTTTGTGACTTTTAATAAAAGGTCATCAAAAATCACTTCATTAGAACACTAGTAGTGGGTACTTGTGGTTTTTGTATACTTTTTGTTCTGTGTTTTACCTTTATAAAAAAGTTAAATAATTTACAGGAGATTAGTGCAATATTTATGTAGCATAACTGTAGAATTTTGTGAAGTAGAATGTCAACAAACACCTCCTAAAAACTTTAAAGGTACTTAATCGACATATTTAGACTAGCTATTGATTTTCGTATGACAACTTTATGTACCTTTGATTCATTCTAGACAACAGGAAGTGCATTTATTTCAAAACATTTTGTTTAAACAAATTTTTGTGGGAAAATAAAGTTTAGCACTTAAATCATAAAATAGATAAGATTGTGGAAGTGGTCGGAGATATAAACTTAGTCAGCGGATTTGATTCAGGCATTAATGTACATGTATATATCCCATATTAATGGGCAATATTGATTTGCGACATTTGGATATTCAGTGACCTTTACTGAGCTTTTGTTGACAAAGTTCTGATGCAGAAGACAAGACGTAATAATAAATATTTTGGATTTCAATCCGGCATATAAACCTTTTAAAGGTTAGTAGTGTTTGTGACAAAAATCAAAATCTGTATTACTTGCAGACCCCAGTCACTCGGGATATGGATGGGTGCATCAATTTGTAAACCCATCCCTTCCAAGAAAGCTGCTTTAATACAAACAGAAAAGATGTTTTTATCCTATAATGATTATCATGTCACTCTACTCAACAGCTATGAAAAGAGGTCCTCCCTGAATATGCACTTTCAAGTAACGCACCTGTTTATTATAGATATATTAAATGTGCATGACTGATACAACATACTAATTAAGATTTAAAACAGTAAAGCATTCATTTCTAATTGTTCTAGAAATGATTGAAATAAAAAAATTAACATTGCAGTTGACAGACAATTTCGTTACAATCATGTAAGGCCTATAACTCTGATCCCCTTTCAAAATTTGATTTTATTTAGTTTTGCATTCTTTTACTTGGGGACCATAAGCCACTTTTCATGCATGGCAGTAAGTGTCTCATTGAAGATATTATGATCAGCGCAGTTTGAACAATCAGCAGATGTTTCTAAATTCATAATTTCACCATGTTTAAATGTTGAATACCGTGCTTGAGCCGGTGCTAGGGGGCGTGGACGGTAACTTGTACTTTGCAATACCGTCCATGAACAGGCTCAATGAAACTGAGCCTGCAACATTTCATAACTCTATGCTAACATGATACATGTAAAAGCATAGTAATTTTACAAAATAACAAACACACTTAAAATAACAAAAATAAACACTCATTTATCAAAAATAATTAATATAAATAATATTACCAACTTGAAGATAAAATAAGACAGATAGTCTTTTTCTTAGCCTGCTTGCGGCAAATGATTCTGCCCATGAGACTAGTGTATTTTTGACTTTTTATGATATTTAGTGGGGTTAGAGTTTGAAAAGAACTTTGTAGAAACAGAACAAGATCACTGAACATACCTTTAAGCTATTTTTTTCCTAAATATGGAAATCATGAGATGTATAAAGGAACAATTTGATGTTTGGATCACTGACACTGAAAAAAAACTTTCAGAAGATTATATAATCAGTCTCCGGTCAATGTTCTCCCGAAAAATATAATACTTGCATTTATGTGATTTCTTTTTTTGCAGTAGAAATATGATAAAGAAACTATCTACACTGTAAATTATCTACTTGGATTTTATAACTTATATTGATAATCTCAGTAATTATCTCTGAACCCTTTTACTACCAGAACTTTTATTGTATAATTACAGACTATTGAGTCTAGGACAATTTTTAAGAATTACAGGAATTTACCATCATAGATAGATGTTTAGTTTTTACTCTATGTATATTAAACCTTTTGTGGTAGAAAATGTATGAAAATATTTTTATCCGCCTAAAAATACAATCAAAAGTACAAAACTACATACATACAAAAGTTAAATAAATTTCATACAGGATACACCCTTGTTTTTGGCAAACAGATGGTTACATTAAATGTATATGAGTGGGAAGAGAATAGTGTACCTTACTTAAGGCTGAAAAATGAATGAAAATCTAACTCATGAAACTGGTAACAGATAGTATTAACCACACTATATATAATATTATATAATAATTATATAATTGTATTATGTATATATATTGTTTTCTATATAAAGTTACTAGAGACAATAATGTATTCAGCTGGATGTTCTCCAGATATGGTTTGATTGTTTGATGTGTGGAAGTAAACAGTTCCTTGTGGAGAATAGGTTTGTGCCGACACAGACCCAACATACACTTAATTGTTTGAGGTAAATTTTCTGGTAAAAATTATTATACTTATATAATATAATCATGTCTTAAACTCACCATTGAAGCTCTAATTAAATACTAAATAGGTGCGCTATATGAACAGGTTTGAGTGTATCAGAATGTGAATTTTTGATAAAAATGGTATCTGCAAAATAAAACACTATGTAATTTTTCTACTAAATACCTTTGGTAATTTTGTCTTCAAATATATTTATAATACTACCAGTATTATAGTTACTTTTCATAAACATTGCAAGCTGGTTTAATTTGTACCCACAAATGGTATAATTTTTACTTGTATTTTGTATGACTTGTAAGTTTGCTAAGTGCTAACTCAGCAGAACAGAAATGACCTATTGTTCTGTCAGCAAAAGTGTAAACTAGTTGCTGGTAATTTAAAGTTGTTGTTGAACTTGACTATTTCACACTCTTGCCTATTAATGTTGAGTGACATTTATACAGATGTAATAAGACAGTACTCATGTTTAAAGCACTGATTTATGGGTAACATTTAAACTAGTTTATAGCATAAATAAGAGAAATTGTGACATAGGCCAGGAAAAACAACTGCTCTGTGTGCAAAAGAAACAGTGTAACTTTTTTAACACAATTTCTTTTTTAGTTTTTATAATTTGTTAAAAATTTAGGCCAGAAAAAGCATGCTGTCTTTTTTCTGGCTCATGCACTTATTTCCTTTTAAATGTTCCACTATTGTAAAAGAGAAGGTATCTGTTGGTATCTGATAGGTAACTATTACTTTTACATCTGATATATGGAGATATTGAAATTACATAATTTGAACAATCTTCAAGCACATGCATTTCTAATTTAATGTTAGATGTAAATGTCAGGATGTGGGTTTTCAGATGATTTCTTGCTTGTAATTTATCTTATATTCATAGTATCAGGTACCAATTTGTTTACAGGATAAATATTTTACAGCTTGGTGTTTTACAAGAATTCTGTAATAAAGTAAAACAATGTTTAGTAAGTGGGTAGATATGTTTCTGACAGTGGTATTTTGTAGAGATAAATGATTGGGAGAGAATATATAATATTTGATTAATAATATTGTACCTATTGTTTGACTTGTGCCCAGTGTGTGGTGGGGGGGGGGAGGGGAGTTAAGGAAAAATTCTTCTGTGGGAAATGGCGGAAGTATTTTTGTGTGTGTGGAATTGTTGTAAGGAATTATCTTCAGTAATAAGAATGAAGGTGTTAGGAATGTGGTTTTGTTAGAATGGAATGTAAATCTGTTATTCTTTTACGACTTTGTTCATCTTATGTTGATAGTATGAACTACTGTAATCTTTATAATAAAAGCACTAGGACATTGAACTCTTCAATAGGTATTCCATATTTCTGGTAAAATGACTTTTAATCAAATTTAGCTGAAAGAGATTTGTCAAATATTACAAAACAAATATTTATTTTTCATTTACTACAGACATAATATAGACTTAATTAACTCTTAGCCGCTAGTGACAGCTTTCCCATGTGACCGGCCACCGAAGATCTAGATCAGCCATCACATCCCTGCTGTCTGAATATGGTCTGCACAGTTCACTGACAGAACTATATTGAAATTTTCAATAAAAAGTATGAATGACTTTATACAGATTGAAAGATGGACAAGTCCCTTTAAAATATTTAGTGGGGGGTAAGGGTTACACAGATCAGGATTTTAAAGTGGTTATATCCTTTTGTTAAAAAAAATAAAGTTCTTTACACATTTTGAATAGTAATTAGGTTGTTATGCCCCCATTTCGAAGAAAAGGGTGTATATTGCTTTGCACTTGTCGGTCCGTCGGTCCGTAGACCAAATGGTTTCCGAGTGATAACTAAAGAACCCTTAGGCCTAGGAACTTCAAACTTGGTATGGTGATTGGTCATGACTAGTAGATGACCCCTATTGATTTTGGGGTCAAGGGGTCAAAGGTCAAGGTCACATTGACCTTGTAAGCAAAAACGGTTTCTGATCAATAACTAAAGAACCTTAAGGCCTAGGAACTTCAAACTTGGTATGGTGATTGGTCATGATCAGTAGATGACCCCTATTGATTTTGGGGTCAAGGGGTCAAAGGTCAAGGTCACATTGACCTTGTAAGCAAAAACGGTTTCCGATCAATAACTAAAGAACCTTAAGGCCTTGGAACTTCAAACTTGGTATGGTGATTGGTCATGACCAGTAGATGACCCCTATTGATTTTGGGGTCAAAGGTCAAGGTCACATTGACCTTGTAAGCAAAAACGGTTTCCGATCAATAACTAAAGAACCTTAAGGCCTAGGAACTTCAAACTTGGTATGGTGATTGGTCATGATCAGTAGATGACCCCTATTGATTTTGGGGTCAAGGGGTCAAAGGTCAAGGTCACATTGACCTTGTAAGCAATAAGGGTTTCCGATCAATAACTAAAGAACTTTAAGGCCTAGGAACTTCAAACTTGGTATGGTGATTGGTCATGATCAGTAGATGACCCCTATTGATTTTGGGGTCAAGGGGTCAAAGGTCAAGGTCACATTGACCTCTTGGGTAAAAACGGTTTCTGATCAATAACAAAAGAACCCTTTGGCCTAGGAACTTTAAACTTGGTATGGTGATTGGTCATGACCAGCAGATGACCCCTATTGATTTTGGGGTTAAGGGGTCAAAGGTCAAGGTCACATTGACCTTGTAGGTAAAAACGATTTCCGATCAATAACGAAAAAAAACCCTTAGGCCCTAGGAACTTCAAACTTGGTTATGGTGATTGGTCATGACCAGCAGATGACCCCTATTGATTTTGGGGTCAAGGGGTCAAAGGTCAAGGTCAAATTGACTTTGTAGGTAAAAACGGTTTTCCGATCAATAACGAAAAGAACCCTTAGGCCTAGGGACTTCAAACTAGATATGGTGATTGGTCATGATCAGTAGATGACCCCTATTGATTTTGGGGTCAAGGGGTCAAAGGTCAAGGTCACATTGACCTCTTAGGTAAAAACGGTTTCCGATCAATAACTAAAGAACCCTTAGGCCTTGGAACTTCAAACTTGGTATGATTATTGGTCATGACCAGTAGATGACCCCTATTGATATTGGGGTTAAGGGGTCAAAAGGGCAAGGTCACTTTGACCTTGTAGGTAAAAATGCTTTCAAATCAATAACTTAAGAACCCTTTGGCCTAGGAACTTCAAAACATGGTATGGTGATTGGTCATGACCAGCAGATGACCTATTGATTTTTGGGGTCAAGGGGTC